AGTAGAGAGAGAGAGAGAGAGAGAGAGAGAGAGAGAGAGAGAGAAGAGGGAGAGAGAGGGTAGCGTGCCAACTTTGAGTAAGAGAGAGAGAGAGCTCAAGTCTTAGGTAGGTTGAGATGACCCCCAATTGAGATATTATATAGAAATGAGGCTAGGCTTAGGGTTCTTACGGTTTGGCCATCCTTATGAGATTACAAAATCTTCTTATTTCTCTTTCAAATCAAGTTGCATGGCTTATTACACAAGCCATTACATTAAGGTAGGTGAGAAATGTGGGGCTTCCCACCTATTGTTGCATAGTGGGCCCCATACTTATATCAAGGTGGTCTTGAAATGGTGGGCCATCATTATGTATTATGGGCCCCCATATTTATTAAGTAATTTAAAACTTATAAAATGATTTTTAGAAAATCATTAATATTTTTTTCTCTCTGAACATTTAAATACATGAAAATTCTATTTTAGCTTATTTAAAATAGAATATCTATAGCCTTCTAATTTTTTTTTAATATTCTAAAAAATCATTTAAAACAAAATCAATTATTTCTAAATTAATTTGATGGGAATCAAATTTAAGTTTGTTAAAAAAAAACGCGAAAATACTGAGGCACTCCATCTCTACTAGTGACTGTGTCCCATACTCACTTTCTCAAACTGACCCAATAGTTCCCATGACCCACAGTCAATCACAGTGGTTCATTATTGTACTACCAAAGCCAGCCAATAGGTGATGAGAGAATCTCAGTGTATAGATTACAGTTTCCCCCATATGGACGAGCCTAGGTCACACAGACTTGTGCATATTCATCACAATTGGAGCATGGGGCTATCTCTTGCACATGTATATGCAACACCCTCAATAGTATCTACTTCTCAGTACGACTATCATATGTATATGCCGTATGATGGTCATGATAAGGATTTGGCTGTTGTTTCTTTAAGCTTACCAATCACACACATGGGTCACAAAGTCCCTTGGCCAACTACCCTAGGCATCTGTCTGATCTCATCAAGGGGTAACCCTACAAACCTTCTCGGTTGTGGTATATGCCCATGTATCATAGAATTTTAGAACTCAACTTGGCCTTGCTTGTCAAGCCTAGTTTGAGTCTTGACATCGGTATTGTCAACTTCGGCCCCTCTGGACCTCACTGTAGTTCATTATTGCAATATCATAAAATTCATTACATGCTCACATAAGGCCTTTAAATGGCCACAAAAGCCCAACACTGCCAAGGTGTGGCACAAACATATCTGACGACATGATGAACTGCTGCATTTGAAATATTTGGTCTGGTCATAGTACAGTAACGTAGGCCACTGACTAAGTATCTCTATGGTATGGGATCTAGATCTCCATTAGAAGTTGGCAATCTTGCATTGAAGTCAACATAAGTATCTCTAACATTGTTCAGAATCTATTGTACTCTTTCACCAAGAATTTGGGCAACCTTATACTCGGTTACAACTCTCCCATGTGAAGATCTTGATATCTAAAGTCCATTCTTGAAATCTATGAATAGAATATTGAGTTCGTCTTATGGCTCGACCATTGGTTGATCCAAACTTTCCAGTTTTCTATGATGCATTTGTAGTCTAGTATATATTGTCGGTTTTGGTATGGCATTCAAGCTTTTTGTTAATATCCCATTCTTTTTGTTTTTATTTTATTTTATTATATTGCAATGATTTTCGTATTATGCAGCTTTTTGTTATGTAATTTTCTGTTGCTGATTCAATTTTTATTCTCATTACTAATTTGTTTTTGGAAAGGTAAGAATTTGGTTGAGATTCTATATTTCATCTTAAATAAGGCCTTGTGTATGACAAAAATGTCATTTATTATATGTTTTAGTAACTTGGCAAGGATAGAGAGAAGTGCTCAAAAGCAAGCCAAATCAGGCACTGGAAATGCTGGATGGTATGAAAAATGGTAAAATACTCTTTCTGATAGCACTTGTATCTATGCATTGATAACTTGCGAACAAAAGTAAACATATTCGTTTTACGTTAATAATTTTTCTGTTCCTCTGATGCCATTCTTGGCAGGTGGGAGAAATATAATGCAAAAGGTTGGACAGAGAAAGGAGCTCACAAGTATGGTAGATTAAATGAGCAATCTTGGTGGGAGAAGTGGGGAGAGCAATATGATGGGAGTGGCTCTGTCCTCAAATGGTTTGCTCTTATTTCTCTTGATATCTCGAATATCTCTTTTATGAATTACTTCTATGACAGTATATTTCCTTGGTTGTACTCCAGTTTTCTCATTGAAGCAAAAGTTGTTTGAGAATAAATCAAGCCTATATGTGGTACTGACATTATGAATGATATATTTCTTTTTTTTTATGCTTTTCAAAGTGATCCATGATGTAACATTATTTTATAAATTGTATATGTTGAACTTTATTTTATCATTTTCATAGTACTTTCATCACTCCAAAGAGTTCCTTGCTTTCCATTTGAGTGTGGCTCTCTGACAATATACAGTGACATTTTCTTGTTTTTAGAAGGGTAGATATCATGTTTCTTTGTTTTGGTTGAAGTGCTGGACTCCAAAATTATGGCATTCAAAATCTGAAAAAACTTGCCCCACTAATTAAAGGCTTTTGCATTTATTTTTTCTTTCTTATCTCTATCGTTTGTGATTTAAACGTTTTATCATTTTCAATGTTGTTAGGACTATACCGGTGACTGAAGCAGTGAGGGCACCAGTTCGGTTGGAATGGTGGAACTGGACCTTGCCAGTTGGACTGGTTTGAGAAATTAAATAATTAAAGAAAATATTAAAATAAGGAAAATTGAGAGAAAATATAAAAAATAAGATTTTTTTTTTTTTTTAAGTTTAGAAACCAAATAACTCATCAAACAATAACTGAATATTCATTAACAATACAATAACTCAAATAACTATTGTAGATACTCTTCATGTACAGGTATATGTTTTTCCATTTTTGTTTTGCTCTGATTTTTGGTTGGGCAATTAGTTTTACTCTTTCTTGATTAACTTGTTTTCTGTTTGTGTGCTCAGATTAATGGCCATGCTTCTCTCTTTGTCTGTATGTGTTTCTCTTTATGGCATACGACACTGTAATTGCAAGTAAGACTAGCCTACATGCTTCATGTGTTTTTATCGCGTAAAATTCATAATGATGTATCTTAATATCCGAAAATACCCAAAAAAAATAAATAGTGCAATATTGAGTTATTAGTAAATGAACTGAATTACAAAACACTGCAATTCAAAGAAAATCATAAAATAAACCAAAAAAGCACTTCAAAACAACCCAAAAATAAATCCCAAAAGGGAAAAACAATAAAAAATTGTAACCCTGATTTCTTAAACTAACAAGGCAAAAACAAATCTCTTTTCATTTATTTATTTTTACTCCATAATAAACATTGAAGTAAATAAAGAAAAATTGAGCTGGTGTTGTCTCCTGACCTGAATCTCGTTGGAATCTGGCAGAAAATCTTGTCCTAAACTCAGTGGTGGAGGAGAGAGAGAGAGAGAGAGAGAGAGAGAGGGGGGGAATGATACTACCTCTTCTCTCTACTTATTACTTTAAATAAACGTACTTAAAGTTTAAGTTTAAGTAATTAAACGAACTAAAACT